TATATAGGTATTATAAATGATAAAGAATGCTAATATAGACATAAAATCGAATTTTTTTTTGAAAATAGCCTACTATGATTGAAACCAAAATTGCTTTTAATTGCACTTTAAAACATATCTAGGTATTATGAATGTTGAGAATGCTAATATAGACATAAAATCGAATTTTTTTTTTGAAAATAGCCTACTAAGATTGAAACCAAAAATGCTTTTAATTGCACTTTAAAACATATCTAGGTATTATGAATGTTGAGAATGCTAATATAGACATAAAATCGAATTTTTTTTTTGAAAATAGCCTACTAAGATTGAAACCAAAAATGCTTTTAATTGCATTTTAAAACATATCTAGGTATTATAAATGATAAAGAATGCTAATATAGATATAAAATCGATATTTTTGTTTTGAAAAAAGCCTACTATGATCGAAACCAAAATGCTTTTAATTGCACTTTAAAACATATCTAGGTATTATAAATGATAAAGAATGCTAATATAGAAATAAAATCGAAATTTTTTTTGAAAAAAGCCTACTATGATTGAAACCAAAATTGCTTTTAATTGCACTTTAAAACATATCTAGGTATTATGAATGTTGAGAATGCTAATATAGACATAAAATCGAATTTTTTTTTTGAAAATAGCCTACTAAGATTGAAACCAAAAATGCTTTTAATTGCACTTTAAAACATATCTAGGTATTATGAATGTTGAGAATGCTAATATAGACATAAAATCGAATTTTTTTTTTGAAAATAGCCTACTAAGATTGAAACCAAAAATGCTTTTAATTGCACTTTAAAACATATCTAGGTATTATAAATGATAAAGAATGCTAATATAGACATAAAATCGATTTTTTTTTAAAATAGCCTACTATGATTGAAACCAAAAATGCTTTTAATTGCACTTTAAAACATATCTAGGTATTTTAAGTGATAAAGAATGCTAATATAGAAATAAAATCGATATTTTTTTTGAAAATAGCCTACTATAATTGAAACCAAAAATGCTTTTAATTGCACTTTAAAACATATCTAGGTATTATGAATGTTGAGAATGCTAATATAGACATAAAATCGATTTTTTTTTAAAATAGCCTACTATGATTGAAACCAAAAATGCTTTTAATTGCACTTTAAAACATATCTAGGTATTATGAATGTTGAGAATGCTAATATAGACATAAAATCGAATTTTTTTTTTGAAAATAGCCTACTATGATTGAAACCAAAAATGCTTTTAATTGCACTTTAAAACATATCTAGGTATTTTAAGTGATAAAGAATGCTAATATAGAAATAAAATCGATTTTTTTTTTTTGAAAATAGCCTACTATAATTGAAACCAAAAATGCTTTTAAGTGCACTTTAAAACATATCTAGGTATTATAAATGATAAAGAATGCTAATAAAGACATAAAATCGATATTTTTTTGAAAAAAGCCTACTTTGATTGTAACCAAAAATGCTTTTAATTGCACTTTAAAACATATTAAGGTATTATAAATGATAAAGAATGCTAATATAGACATAAAATCGATATTTTTTTTTGAAAATAGCCTACTGTGATCGAAACCAAAAATGCTTTTAATTGCACTTTAAAACATATCTAGGTATTATAAATGATAAAGAATGCTAATATAGAACCAAATCGAAATTTTTTTTTGAAAATAGCCTACTATGATTGAAACCAAAAATGCATTTAATTGCACTTTAAAACATATCTAGGTATTATAAATGATAAAGAATGCTAATATAGACATAAAATCGGTATTTTTTTTGAAAATAGCCTACTATGATTGAAACCAAAAATGCTGTTAATTGCACTTTAAAACATATCTAGGTATTATAAATGATAAAGAATGCTAATATAGACATAAAATCGATATTTTTTTTTTGAAAATAGCCTACTATGATTGAAACCAAAAATACTTTAAATTGCATTTTAAAACATATCTAAGTATTATAAATGATAAAGAATGCTAATATAGATATAAAATCGATATTTTTTTTTGAAAATAGCCTACTATGATTGAAACCAAAAATGCTGTTAATTGCACTTTAAAACATATCTAGGTATTATAAATGATAAAGAATGCTAATATAGACATAAAATCGATATTTTTTTTTGAAAACCGCCTACTATGATTGAAACCAAAAATGCCTTTAATTGCACTTTTAAACATATCTAGGTATTTTAAATGATAAAGAATGCTAATATAAACATAAAATCGATATTTTATTTTGAAAATAGCCCGCTAAGTTTGAAACCAAAAATGCATTTAATTGCACTTTAAAACATATCTAGGTATTATAAATGATAAAGAATGCTAATATAGACATAAAATCGATATTTTTTTAGAAAATAGCCTCCTATGATTGAAACCAAAAATGCTTTTAATTGCACTTTAAAACAAATCTAGGTATTATAAATGATAAATACTGCTAATATAGAAATAAAATCGATTTTTTTTTGTTGAAAATAGCCTACTATGATTGAAACCAAAAATGCTTTAAATTGCATTTAAAAACACAAATAAATAATATAAATGATAAAAAATTATTAACGTTCAAAGGGGGGAGGGGGGTAGGGGGGTTGTGAATTGTAACATATTGTAACAAGGGGGGGAGGGGGTGGTGAAAAAAAGTCGCGTAACGTAATAAGTGAGCGGCCCTTTAACTTATCCTCGTATATATTTCTTTTTTGTGCGAAATAATATTAAGTAAGACTGGAAATGCTGAATGGATGGATCAAAACAGTCTGCTTTGCGTACACAATGAATAAATGATGAAATGGACAAATAGTAAATTAAATTTTGTTTTACTGAAGGAGTACATTATTGACGTGAAGTAAGCATGCATTCACTTTTTCATTTTATTGTTGCTTTAGTCTTCTATTGCATTTATTCACTTTCTTTTTCGTTGACGAAATAATAATTTTTTTTACCGAATTATATAATGCGAATCGCATATGAACAATTAAAAAAAATTCATGTGCATTTAATTCTTTTAATGTGGATGTGTAAAAGTAACATTTTTGTTAACAAAATGACACACTTCCAAAACTGGATCAAACTATTGTATATAAAGTAAATCTTTGACAGTATCTAATAGAGATCTCAGTTGTATTGCGAAAGGTTTAATGCATTGAATTTTCATCGAACATTTTTCAACAAAAAAGGTCACAAATATCAAGCTAGGGATTTTAGTGTGTGGCAAAAAGTTTCGAAAATGTTAAAGTGCCACCTGTTAAATAAAGTATCAAAACAACTGACGTATGTCCTTTTCTAATCATTTTAATGTACATTGTGAAATGAATTTTTAATCATTGTTTCTATAACAGTAAATGATTTCCATAACTGAATACTATTTATGTATACAATAAACAAAAAAATACTTTTTTATTTTTGAAATTACAGGGGGTCCTCGATTTGAGTAGGTGTTTTGCAGTGTTTTGTTCCAAAAAATCCTATTCAAATCGAATCTACTCAAATCGAGGACCCATAATAATAATGTGTGAAGGGCCCAGCCTTTCAGCTAGAGGCACTGCAATTCAAATTAGAATAGAATCTATTGTACCACACCCTTTAGACCTACAGCTTATAGTGGGATCCGAACCACTTGCAAGCTCTGCACATTGCAAAGACACGAGTACGTCATAAGACCTGATGTACCGTCCAATGTACCTAGTCACAATTCGTGTGCGCAAGATGCCGTAATGAAGTCATCCAGATGCTAGTATATCCTTGTATACCTAGCAAAGGAGGCATATTCTGGAGGAACAATAGTATTTATAGACTATGGCAAAGCAGCATTTTGGATCAAAGCCATCATCACATTTAAATTTTGCAAATGAAAAATCGTGAATGTTTTTTACTATTTTTTCCTGTCAGATTTTGATGTGCCTCCTTTTTGGTGTAAAATAAAAACCAACATAAATATTCAATAAATTTTATTTTTTTTAAAAAATGCAGAGAGAATGGATAACAGTAATAAACTGTCGATGAAATATCAGCTCCAATATGTATTCGCAATGGGAATAAAAAAATTTAATTAAAATTCTCTACCGAATGCATTTTTTGACGCGGCATCGTTGCAATATGCACATTTTCCTTGCATTAGATTGATGGAACTGCTTTGTTGTAATCTGATCCGTCCATTTTCTAATGTATGCATTTCTAAATGAATTGCATTGTAGCAAATCTCGAGGGAAGCAGGCGTCTAGCGAGAAAAATTGCATTTAAAATTGGAATTTCTATTATTTTTGGAAATTTTAAACGGTAATTAATTCTGTCTATTCTGACTGATAAAAGATTTTTATTTTGATATTATGAATTTTATTCACTCTTTTTACATTCCATAAGTAATGAAGAAATTCTTTACGTTTGGTTTTCATTCTTTGATTGAAAAATGCGCCGACTCCATCGATAAACAGATGAGTTTTCATTATTTTCAATTCACTATCATTTCTCGCAGGATTTATGAAACGAGCAAAAAAAAGTAGCACTGAAAATGGACCACAAAAAAAGCTGCATTTTGAAAAATGTGGTTTTCGTTGTTATTCGATTTATTTATTTGGTTTCATTTTACAGTAATTTTTAACAGCATATAAAAATATAAAATGACTGTGGAGAATTCCACTCAATCTATTCATACAATGTATTTTGTGCTTTTTGATGCCGCAACGTGTATACATTCAGGCGCAATATAGCGTAAAGAATTAATAATGTATTCCATTTCAGACAAGTGAAGCTTTTCATGGCGTTTTCAATTAGTGGAGTTAAAACCTTACAAATGAAAATAAATGTATGAAGCTTTTTCCAATAACGTATTAAATAAAGACATATGTTGGATGTTGTGATTCATAGAAAATCCCTGAACTTGAAGCAATTTTGTATACTGAAAGCAATGCCGGCAAGTAAATGAACAGAAAAAAGAATGACTGTTATTAAGAAAAGCAATTGCATTCACAGTTAGAAGCACCTTCAAACAAATTAATCATTTTCATAAACAATTTATTATCAATCAATATATAACAAAAACAATGTGATGTACATAAATATATTTGTGTAAATGTCATTAAAAATGGAGTGGAATGACTAGAAAAAGGCAAATGATTTCGACGGCTTAAAAATCACCGGAGCCTCACTTTTGCTGAAATTTTCATTAATTTATCAGAACTATATGGACAGTTTGGCCATAACATAGCACATCCTATTGGTGCTCCCATGGTATCAGCTGAATGACGAAGTAACTGTCCCATATGAGATGAGAAATGCCACACTGATGGTTTGTCGGCAACAATTGAAAGAGAGGTTGTTCTAAAATAAATTAAGCAAAAATTAAAATTAAGGAAATTTTTAACAATAAAAAAAGGAATATCAAAACGTTAACGTTTAACTCTCATTAAACAATTTCCAACATTTTATAAAATAAAAATGAATTTAAATGCAAAAAGTTAAAGCTTCAAATTGCTCAAAAGTAATGAGGGAGATAAGTAAAATTTATGAAGTACTCTAACATTGGTGTCGGTAGAATATGGGTTGAAATTGTAATGCAAATGAGGAAGTAAAACTATACCTTAATCAGTGAATATTCAAAATTCAACATTCAACTCTTATGTGCTTAATGTTAAATCACTAGTTTCTCAATTCAATATCTCATATCGGTTTCATTAAGTTTCTATAAATTCGGTCTCGATATTTGGTAAATAATTAAAAAATTATTCGAAACTTTTTCTGTAGAGCATCGTTCGCATTTCCTTTACTTTATTTTACTTTTTTTAATCACGTGCTCCTTCTAAAACCTTGATTGCAGGTGAGAATTTAAATTAAATTACATACATTTCCTCTATTTTCTAGTCACAAGCATATAAATTGAATATGAACTTTAATCCCGGGTGGACACAGCCAGTTAAAGTCCATTATTGGACAATCATTTAACAGTCTTTTGACTTGCCCAAATTTATACGACAAAAAGAACTAGACGTTTACTAGACTTTAACTGGACATTCATGCTAATCAATCAAGTGTTCGAAACTCAAAAATAATTTTCCTTACTTTTTTGACCATATACTTCACAAGCGCTTGCAGAAATCACTTATATAAGGCCTCCCAAAATTTGTATGAAACTTTCAAGTAAATATAATTGTTTCACGCGCAAGTGTTCGAGACTCAATTTTTACTAGAGATTTTTCATAAGTGTTAGTGTACTTTAATTAATTATTTACACTAATACAATAATAAAATTTTACAGAAGAAAAAAAAATGGAGAAAAAGACACGTGTTATTTATTTTATTTCGATTTTTTTGTAACTGGACATTAACTAGACATATTTGCAATTCCTACGTCCAGTTAAATGGAAAGCGCAAAATATGTCATTAGTCGTCCCTAAGTCTAGTTGCAAAGGCACGTCAATGGATACTTACTCGCCATGAACAGGCAAGTCAATTGCAAGCTTTTAACTAGTACTTTGTCCACTCGGGAATGCATTCTTTAACTTAGAACTTAATAACGATATTTTACGATTCTTTGTTTAAAAAAAGAAATTAAAAGGTATGATAAATATTTTGTTTTTAAAAATATCAACAAAATGACCAATCAAAGCCAAATGCCAACAACATTAAAAAGGTAAAAGTGAAAGTGAGAGAATTTCCGTACTCCTCTCAATCTTTTACAATTTCTTTCTCAACATTTTATTTTAATTGAGCGTAGATCATTTCACTCGCTCACATAAGTTTTTTAAAAAACTTTTATAATTATGTGTATCGTTACGCAATAGTGATCAAAGAGAAATTTTCGATTGGATGCTTACTTTTTTTGCAATTGAATGATGACGAAATGGAAATAAAATATCTCGAGATCTCTAAGTTCTATAGAAGCAATGATATTTTTCAACTTACTTTAGTAATGACAAAACATGTTTCTCTTTATCACTCAAAAGATATATTGGCTTTGCCGCTATTTCACACAGCAGTTTAGGAAGACATAGATCTCGAAGGGATTCTGTCAATCTTTGCTGTACAATCTCAAAAGCCTTTTTTCGTTCCAGTCTTTGTTTCTCGTTAAACGCTTTCTTAAGAAATTTCACATCGATTTTGTCTTCTGAATCGATTTTGTCTTGCGATTCCTTTAAATCATCTAATAAATCTTGATCTAAAAATAAAATTGAAAGTCATAACTTATTAAAAAAAACTTATCACTTTTTTTATCCTCAAAAGTAGAAAAGAATTTTTTAAAATAAAAGAAAAAAATGATCTTTGACTTTTCTAAGACAAATCATAATCATGATCCTTAATTAAGCATGTTCTCTCTAATAATTATAAACAACTGTTCTCATGATTCAAGTCATATTTTGCATGTGCTTTGCTATTTTCGAAGGACATCAGGCATTGAAAAATAATAAAATGAAAAGTTCTGTCTAGAAGTCAACTATAATTTTACACTAATAATTGTTAAATCAATGAAATAAGTATGAGGATTAATGCGGAAGTAAGCATACAGTTACATTAAGTATTATATAACACTAAATTATTTATACTTATTAAAATCCACGCACCTTTGTCGTCTGAATATTTTTCGTTATTTTCATTCTTTTGATCATTCTTTCGAGCATTTGCACCACCGTAGCCTAATGTATCGGCAAATAAAATTAAAATCACTGTTGTCACTAAACAAATGCGGAAAATCCAGGCAGAATCGATTGGCATTTTGATATTATTTCTATTACTTTTTTACTTTTAAATTTCTAAATTCACATAAAAATTCTCAAAATTTTAAACAAATTTTTTCATCCGAAGAAGTTAATAAAAAATTCAACTCGCTCTCACAGCATTATTTACAAGACTAACTTAAGTTTTTGCTTTGCTTTACTCTGTTTACTCGTAAAGTTGTTGCCGCTTACTACCTGCTTAACTTTATTTGTTGGAAAAAAAACATCACGTTGAAATTGAAAATATATTTATGAGAAAAAGAGAACGAGAGAGCTAAAGAAAATGAAATTGAAAGCAATACAAAATATCTCAAAAAAAAATCATTTTCAGTGTGTTGCATGATTTGTTGACATCCAGAAACAATAGTTTTATTTAGGAAAAATATTATATACTTCGATTTAAATCCAGCACCATGCCAGAGTCGCGCCGGCTTGGTACCGGATTTCTATTCGATTAACCGACTTGTGCTTTTCGTGAATAAGATTCGAAATTTTGTAACAAAACCAGTGCATGAAAATCCAGATATAAATTATCCAAACAGCAACGTGTCACTGATTTTGCAGACAGTAAGGTGATTTTCATAAATAATTTTTTAATGAACTTAAAAAATTTTATTCACTCAAAAATTTATATTCAAGTTTAAAATCATGTGCTGAAATGACCACTGCACTTTCAAAATTAATAATTTAACAATGAAAAATCCATTTATAATTGGTTACCATCGTATTTGTTCGGATTTTATCAGCACAACAACCCTTTCATAGAAATTGTTTTAGAGCTTTGAATTCTATGGAAAACATATGTTCCACTATGTTGAATAACCCTAGCTCTTTATTTCTGAGAAAATTTGAATCAAAAGCATTTTTAATAAAATTGAGAGATTTTTTTTCGTGGTTCACATTATTATTCCGCAATTCTGATTTATCATATTTTTTTTTTATTTCATTTTAGTTGTCGACAAATTGTCTTTTTTCCCTAGATTTTAAAAGGGATTTATACTCACCCACGCCACATTTCAAAACAATAACAACAACAACAAAAATTTTGTTGGGAATAGAAAAAGAAAGAGTCAAGCAAATTTGATGTCATACATAATTTATTATCTGCGCTTGTTATGTGCATTATTGAAAGGGGGAATTTCTGCGGAATGTAACAGATTTTTAAGCATCTACATATTTGACATGTATGGAAATCTCATATACTTATATTTATGCTCATATGTAATTTTATTTATGATCATGTTATTATTGAATCGCTTAAAGGATAACGAAAATAAAAAGGAAATTGCCAAATGCTCTTGACATGAACATCGAAGCAGTGAGTAGTAAGCTGAAAACCAAACGCAAACAATTGGGATTTTTTTTTACTGCAGAAGTAATGTCATTTGTCTCGCGAAATTTATGTCATACATGGAGATACGATTACACGCGATTGTAAGCAATTGTGTAAAAACAGTTTGAAGAAAGAATTCTCATATTTTATTCATACTTGAACTGTAGAAAATGTCATATAATGCTAATCCATTAAACAACTTTTCATCTTTTACATCAATGATGATAAAAATCAATTTCAATTCTTTTTACTTCAATTTACTTTCAATTTTTCCATTCTGGCGAGCGAAAAATTTGTTTTAACAATTCACTTTTATGATTTTGCATTTCTTTGATTTCATTTTTGACTTACCATTTTGTGGATTGAACTGAAGGTACACATAAGTTGTTAAAAGATTGAAATTTTACATATCAAGAATCGTAAAGGTATTATTATAAATTCTGACTGATGTTGCCATCATATTTACATAAATGATTTTAATATTGATAAGTAAAATTCAACTTAAATCCTTTCTCAAACACAAAATCGATTGACAATAAGTGATTTTTCAATGGAAGTCTGTCAAGGATTATTAGATATTAGATGCACTCGTCTAAATAAAGCATATAAAAAATCATGGATTCGGAGCTGTACTCAAAAACTAAGAATATCCTAAAGTTTAACCAATCCTTTAAAACTTTTAAATGTATTACAAAAAGAATTATTTTATTGTTCTGACGATCAACGACATTCTTCCTGGTCGTTAATTTGTGTCTGATAGCAGTACATATAGTGCTTTATCCACATCCCTACGTCATAAAAAAATGACACTTTTTATGTGCTAGATATATTTTTTATCATCATAAATAGAATTGTTGTATCTTTTACATATAAAAAATATTGCTTGAAAATCACAAAAAAAAGTTATATCTTTCCATTGATGTAAATAAACACACAACAAAGATACACATCACATAGTAGTATACGTTTGAAATTTACATAAGGATATATTTTTTTATGATTCAAAGTCGTTTTGCATTTTCTGATATAAAAGTTGACTTTTTTAATATCCATTTTTGATTTAACATTCTCAAAAGAATTTTTTATGTATTGTACAGTCTCACACAGAGTACAGAGCATAAAGAAAGAAATGAAAATAAAAAATTAAGTCCAGAAGCATAAAAAATTTACCACCATTGAGAGATTTTTCCAATAGATGACTTAATCTCATATCTAGCGTACATAAAAATAAAAAAAATCCAGTCTATTGATGGGCAATTTGTAATTTTAGCGATGATATAAAGCAACACAACATAGATAATATGTAGTCTATGCTAGTCATCAAACGAACGATTTGCATTTTAATAGGAAAAAAAATGTTCCATCACTGCCAGTATTTGCTGTGTTTATATTGAGATCAAATTAATTGGAAAGCATGAATAAATGAAAATTGTGACTTTCGGCGCATTAAAAGGCATTAAAATTTTAATTGCTGTTTTTTCTTCTTCTTCTTCAATCAAACTGTTGAACTGTCCCAAGCTAATTCTCTCATTCCATTCTTACATAAAGCAACAGCCATCACCGGCGTCGATTGTAAAAAATTCTAATTAAGGACTCATACAACACTTGTGACTGTTGTGAATGTACATAAAAATTTTCTGGACAAAAATAGCGATAAAATTTTTCTCATCTTGTTTTATCCCCTTTTTGAGTAACTTTTGGGATTTCAAGATTTTTGTTTTGCAGAATGTCCTGCTTTTCTTTCAGTAGACAAATAATAAAATTTAAACTAAATTTACGATTCAAAATAACAAAGATATAAATATTGAGGACACACAGAAGGAGTCAAAATTAGTCATAATGGTTAATGACGATGACAATTTCGAGACGTAATGAAACAAAATCGAGAACCAGAAAGATTAAAATTTGATACACACTGAGCAATTAAAAAAGGAATGAAAAGAAGTTGCAACAGAAGGTTAAGGGGAAATTTTATTACTAAAGTAATTTGACGACTTACTTTTAATTGAATTTGGATGTTAGGTGGACGATGAAGCTTAGAAAAATTCATTCAGTTCAACTTTTTCTAATGTTTCATAAGTATAAAAAAATCCAATAAATCTTTAATTAACAAAAAGGTGTACGCAGTGCAAGTTTAAGTTATGTGAAAGTCTGTGATAACTACATTATTAATTATGATTGTATATTCCAGAATACTGTTCTCAACAAATTACCAGGTTTTTAATAATTACTTTACTGTTTCTTAATTAAATTGATGAATCTTACAAGAATCAGCATGCTTTATTAAAGGAACCGTTAAATAATTTTTAAAATATTAATAACATGCCCAATTTTATTATTTCAGAATTTCAAAGTGAGAAAAATTCCAAACCTCCTGAAAATTTTAATTTGTGTGCTACGAGCAGCTAGGAGTAGTAAAATTTGCTGCTCATGTTTTAATATTTATTTCATTTATGGTCAAAAAATATGGTGACAATATGAGAGCAACATCAGTGTTAAATTTTTTTTATGTTTTCAATTTTAAATTCTACTTTTAGATGCAGCACAAAAATGGAGATAAAATGAAAAGTATTGTCAAGATCATAAAAGTTTTTCACTTCGTTCCACATTCATATCATATCGGAAAATCCACAGATTTAAAAATCGAAAAACGATAAAAATTTTGAAGTGAGATTGGAAATGAAAAAAAAAATTTAATTTGGCAAATGGAATGAAATATGATGTGAACATAAAAATCTGGTTTAGGAATCCTAAAATTAAACGATTTGCTGTATTTAAAAATCATAAAATTGTTACACGCAAAATCCGCATAGAGAATAATAAAAAAATATTTATATCCAATCCAAATTATGTTGATTCTACACAATATAAATGTTTAACTGTATGTATTACTTACAGCATACAGTTTATATCTATTTTTGTGATTGTTGTAAAAGAAAAGATAATTTTTAAATCCTGCTGAAAGGAATTGCTCCTTTGTCTAGCTTGCTTGCACTTATTATACTTGATTTGAACTAAAATATTAAATTATTGCAGAAGTGAAAATTACAAGTAAGTCTTGGCAAAGCAGTCTTGTTAAAAAAATCAAAGCACTTCCTACAAAATACCATAAACATCTTCATGTGACTTTAAAAACATTTTAAAAGCAGATTTGTGATACTTTAAATCAAATTCTTATTCATTCATTGATACGGAAAGGAGAGCCGCCATAAAATTCTGACAACATTTATTGCCGTTTTCATGATGGTCCGCAGAGAAATGAATAAATGCATAATAAAATCTGTGTTATGTTGTGGGGGAATAGCAAATTAAATGAATGTGAGGAAATCGATTTATTTATATTTATTTGCCTTTTATATTTTTATTTTATTTTTTACAAGCACCAACCAAACTCTTCCTATTCGCATTTTAGTGGATTGTTGAATAAGTGAGTAAGTAAGTAGATGATGATGATTTTTATGTCTTTGTAAGGAAAGCAATTTCAATCATAATTTTTATAGCTGCCAATGAAAATATTTTATTTACAGGCCTCCTTATGGCTACCCTCAAAGGAATGCCATGATAGGAATTTCTAAAATTGAAATTGCTTTCCCATAAAAAATACACAAAAGGAAAGGAGAAAGAAAAACCTGAAACGTCACTTATGTGTTATTTGAAGGGATTTTAATAACTTTATTGCATTTACACTTCA